CTGTGGGAATCTCTAATGTGAAGATGTATTCTATGAAAAAGTTTAAACAAAAAGGTAAACTGGAAAAAAATATAAAACAAAAACAACAAAAAAGAAATTCTTGAAGATAAACACAGCAAGTTTTTCCCCGATGTCAAGACATGTTATTATGTAATGCTATAGTAATCAATTTGCTATGATATTGCTGCAATAACAGGGATGGGTTGACAGATCAGAACGGAGAACCCAGCGACAGGTCCGCATGTGCAAAACCCTCCATCTGCATAGCCAGCTGCTCTCACAAATCAACAGGGAAAGGACGTGCACTGGGTCCTGGGGTTAGAACAACTGGCCATCCTCATGGGGAAAAACGTTGTGTGTGATGTGAACGGTGACTCTAAATTTTAGAATCTATAGAGGTAGATTGAAGTTCCAAATATAAAGACTACAAATTTTTAAATAAAGGAAAAAATATGCAAACATACACCTGCTTCATATGCACAAAACGTCTCTGGCAGGGACATGGGTGCCAGTGACAGCCGCTGCCTCTGGGGGTGGGCGGCCAGGGTCGGGGCGGCGGGAGCTGCGCTAAACAGACTCCTGGCCCCTGGGAATGTCGCACCTGTGTACGTGTTACCTATTCACAAAGAAATTAAACACACTGGAAAATGGTTTGGCTCTTTTTTTCTTCTTTTTAAACTGCTTTATTAATTTCATATTATGAAAAGAATATATTTTCCTAAAATGAGTGCAATTGAAAACAATATTCAATTAGAAACTGATACGTGGAAACACCAAAAGGTTTGCAGAAAAAGTAAACCACAAAAATACAATCTTGTAAAGCAGTGGCCACGTTATTAACCTCAGGGGAAACCTTAGGATTCCAAGTACCAGGCCCAGGTCCCAGTGACGGTCGGGCACGGGACGTGCGGGACGCACCTGCGCGCTCCTGGCCTTCCTCTTGCTTCCCGTCTCTGCCCTACGTACCTTCCCACGTGGCCCTGCTTCAGCAGCGCACCTGTTAGGTGTCACTCGCCCTCCCCTGGCACTTGCTCCAGCGTCTGGCCTTCACCCCACACCGGGCAGGACTCCTCTCATTTGCCAGGGCTGCTCCCCTCCTTCCTTCTTGTGCCGGCATCGTGCATAGTGATGGGGGACCCCGTCACTCAAGAAACTCGGGTTTCTTTTCAAACTGAATGGGCGCTTACAGCGGGGAGGAGGGGATGGGTAAATTCACACCTAACGGGTACAGTGTGCGCACCATCTGGGTGATGGACACACTTATAACTTTGACTCCAACTGTACAAGAGTACCCATGTAGCCAAAACATTTGTACTGTCATAATATTCTGAAATAAAAAATAATTTTTTTAAAAAACACACGTTTACCGTATAACCCAACAATTGCACCTTTGGGCATTTATCCCGGAGAAATAACAACTTACGTTCACTCAGGCAAAAACCTGTCCGTAAGTGTTGCAGCGGCTCTATTTGTAATCACCAAAAATTGGAAGCAACACAAGTGCCCTCGCATGGGTGAACTGCTAAACCAGTTGTAGCGTACGTTCACACCGTGGAATACTAGGCAATAAAAAGGAACAAAGTACTGATACATACGACAGGCCGGTCGTGGTGGCTCACGCCTATAGTCCCAGCTACTCAGGAGGCTGAGACAGGAGGATTGCTTGAGCCCAGGTGTTTGAGGCTGCAGTGAGCTAGGATGATGCCACTGCCCTCCAGCCTGGACAACAGAGCAAGACTCTGTCTCTAAGAAAATAAAAGGGCTCAGAGCCCTTGACAACCATGATCCTTTTAGAAGCCCTAGAGAAACACTGGCCCTGAGCAAACCACCTGCAGTGAGGAGCAAAATTCTGCGGATACCGGTGTCTGTCGTGGGGAGGCGCTAAACGAGATTTAGTAGAGAGTAGGAAGAAGGAATGAGCCGCATCTGCACGTGCTGAGGTGGACGTGTCGAAAACACATGGAAGGGAAAAGATCAAGTGGCAGATGACGTGTGCGGCATGGTATGCAAATACAAACAGGAGACGACACATTTCCTATGGCTGCACATACCACACTAAAGCACGTAACAAACGCAGGTTTCACGGTTCCTCAAAAAGTCTGACATAGATCCAAACGCTACCATATGACCCAGCAACCGCACTCCCGGCTATATTCCCGGAAGAATTGAAAATGAAGTCAAACAGATACTCGTGCACCAATGTTCACGGCAGCCACGTCCACAACAGCCTCAAGATGGAAACAACCATGTCCATCAACAGATGAACAGACAAAACATAGTCCATGCACACGATGTGATATTATTCCAACACAAAAAGCAACGAAGCACCAACATATGTTGTAACATGATGCTGGGGAAACAAAGCCAGACACAAAAGGACAAATAAAATAGGATCTCACTTACACAGAATATCTAGAACTGGCAAAGCCACAGAGCTAGAAAGCAGATGGGAGGTCACCAGGGACTGTGGGCAGGGGAATGGGAGTCACTGTTTAATGGGCACAGAGTCTCTGCTAAGGTGATGAATAAGCTTTGAAAATAGTGCTGATGGTCACACAACGTCGGGAGTATAATTAATGCCACTGAACGGTACACTTAAAATGGTTAAAGTGTCGAATTTTCAGAGAGAGATATTCAAATGTGAACACAAACATACATATCTGGCAAATACAGGCCAGACCCCTGGGGAGGGGGTTGTGCGGGGAAGGTGTGGGAGTCAACTTGAGCCGTGGTTGTAAGAGTCGGCTTTCAAAGAGGACTCCGCATCTGCGAAGCACTCCCGCTATGGCAAGGAGGGATGCCCGAGGCGGAAGTCTCCCCGGCATTTCAGAAAGTCTGCTCTGAGTGGCAGGGTTTTTGCCTGGACCAGTGTGATATGTGGTGGGGCGCCCATGGACCTGGGGCCCCAGGACCTGGGGCGGGGGTCAGCCTGGCCTCCACCGCCCAGCCCCCTCCTGGGTTCTGGGCCCTGGTGCCCCCTGGGTCCCGATCCCGGGGGGCCGAGGCAGAGGTAGAAATGATTCCAGGAGTGTCCAAGTCACGGTCAACTTGTTTACAGTCTTTATTGTAAAGAAGTTGCAGCTGGAACATGGGACACTGAAAATACACAATCACCGATTGTTCTTTCAGAATAGGGAGAGATCTATATATACAAAAATTGTAAACATGTTCACTTAAATATCCACACAGAATTGGTCTATGCAACAATGTACAGGGTTGTCACTCAACTGCAACTCCAGAGGGAGGCATCTGTCTTAAGATGAAATGTGGCAACCGCGTTTGGTATCGACCTAATGTGAAAAGCCAGCTTCGAGCGATGCATGGGTAATCAGCTACGCAGAGGGACCCCCGCCTGGGGCTGGGCCGGAAAACAGGGTGCACAAGGGGAGGGAGGGGCTGGTCCAGGATGCCAGGTAAGGGAACAGCACAGAATGGACGTGTCCAGGGCACAGCGGGCAGATGGAACCTCTTGGCCTCTCTCCTGGTGAGGGGCTTGTCTTGCCTGGCACCCAGGTGTCCTGTTCCTTCCCTGGGCAAGGTCTCACCAAAGGGCTGGGACAGGGCTGGTGCCCAGGCCCACAGCTACCTTTTGCCTTCCTGGCCGGAACTACGGACACCTGGGCCCAGGCAAAGGCAGGCGGGGGCGGGGGCTGGGCCACAGACGGAGGGGCGGCTTGTGGGGCACTATGAGGCGGAACCTGAAGACTTGACCACAATCACAACATCGACAGGGCCGGGCTGCTCTACCGAGCCTGCGAGAGGGAATGGAGGCAGGGTCTGGACGGGACGAACCATCATGACAGGAGCAAGGACAGCCACTACCCTCAGGGACATGGGACGGGGAACAGCCAGGGTCCCCAGCCGCGGTAGGGGGTGTCCTTGTACCCGGTCCTGGACAATCCCTGCACCTGGTCGTAGGGGCAGCTGGATTCCTGAGCCCAGAGTGGACAGGTGAGCCCCAGGTTGTCTGGCCCCTGAGGGGAACACCTCCCCCAGGCCGGCCCACCCTGGCTGGGGGCACATACCCTGGGCTGTGCTGTCCCCTCCTCAGGACCTCAGGCCTGAGGCCAGGTGCTGAGGGGACTGAGGGGAGTTGCAGGGGGACAGCCCAGGCACTTGAGGGACTAGCCCCTCTTGGCCCTGAACAGCCCACAGTGGCCACCCTCTCTGTCCCTGGTGCGGGACTGGAAGGACCCAAGGGAGGGCCCGGGAGGCCTTGGGGCCTGTGTTGGTGGAGTGGCCTTTGAGCCCCGGTCTGGGCCTGCCAGCCACTAGTAGGCGGGCACCTGGTACCCTTTGGGGCTGGTGTCCAGGGTCTCGGTGAAGGGTGGGCTCTGGTAGGTCTCGGTGCCCTCCACGCCGCTGCCCACCGGGTAGCCAGGGTAGGCCTGGCCCGCCCCAGCGCTCAGCTGTTCGGTGGCGAAGAGTGACATGTCGGTGCCCAGGCGGAACCGCTGCAGGGCCTTCACGGTGAGCGCCACCTGGGCGGGAACCCGGGGTCAGCCAGAGCCAACTGCGCCCCCCGGCCCGCCCGCCGCCCGCCGCCGCGCACTCACCCAGCTGAGGACCGAGAAGAAGCTGAAGGCGATGGCGGCCCGCGCCGCGTCCCCGGCCTGCGCCGTGCCGGGCCCGGGCGCCGTGCGCTGCCACTGGTTGGCGAGGAAGCAGAAGCCCACGAACCACAGGAAGGACCAGAGCCCTGGGGGCGGCGGGCGCGGGTCGGGGCGGCGCTCCACGCGGGCACCCCGCGCGGCCTCGCCCGAACCGCACCGGGTGTCTGGCCGCCGCTGGGCCGCGCCACGCCCGCTGCGCCCCGACGCGCAGGTGCAGCCCGAGGGGCCCCGCCCCCAGCCTGGCCCGCCCCCGGAAGCCCCGCCCCGCGCACCTGAGAAGCCCAGGTCCAGCAGCACGGCGCGCCGGCGGTCGCGGACGCTGCTGATCTGCTGGAAGCGCACGTCGAGCAGCAGGAAGGCGGCGCAGGCCAGGAAGGCCCCCAGGCCGAGCGCGACGCCGAAGCGGCAGGCGCCCGCGTTCCCGTTGAAGACGCAGCGCAGCTCGGGGCCGCTGTCGGCGTTCACGTAGCCCTCGTTGATGATGGGCCCGAAGACGGCGATGGAGAACACCTGCGGCGGCGGGCGGCGCTCAGCGCCTGCGGGGCCCCTCTGCCCGCCGAGACCCGAGGCCCACCCCGAGCGCCCCCGTCCCGGGCCCGTTCCTGCAGCACCGGCCCCTCTCTGGGCGGGGGCTCTTCGTGCACCCCTTCCTTTCCCACCCCTCGCGTATTTAGCAGCTACTGACAGCACGAACCGTTCACTGAGCATCTACGTGCCGAGGCCCTGCGCTAAAACCACTACGTTTGCTCAGGGAACCCTCCAAAAGCCCCACACGGCCGCCATTGTTCTTGTCGCCTTTATAAATGGAGAAATTGGGGCCACAGGTGAAGTGACCTGTCCAGCATCTCGTGGCTGATAGCCGAGGCTGAGATTCAACCGGGTCCTCCGCACCGCGTGGGGCCCGTGGTGTCCCCCCAGAGCCGCTCGAGAGTGTGGAACAGGGGACTTCACCTGGATCGGTGACTCCCAGGCTGGAGCCGGCGGGGCAGGGGGAGGTGGGACCGGGGGTGCAGGGGGGGCAGGTGCCAGAGCTGTCGCCAGGCCCCGTGCAGCCCGCCCGTCTTCTAGCCAAATGGGGTAACGTGCACGGGTCATGGAGTGCTGGGATGGGGACATGTCCCCGCAGCTTCCCGCACTTGGTGGACACCCGAGGGATGACGACCCCCGCGTGACTGTGATTAATTACTAATGTCGCTCTAAGTGTCTGGGCTCAGACAAGACACCATGGACCTCTGGGGTTCAGTCACACCTCAGTGCCTCTGCTCACCAGTTCTGGCAGCAGGTATGAGGTGGACCACGGTCATTTTAGCCAGACGCTGCTCTTTCAGCTCTGGGCAGCCCTCTGTTGCCAAGAAAAGACCTCCAGTCTCAACTTCTTCCTTTCGCCCTTTTCCCGACCCAGCTCCGAGATACAAGAGTCGCGGGGAAGCCAGGGCACGGGCATGTTCCCCGAGACCGGGCTGCAAGTCTGGACATGAGCGAGGACCAGAACGCAGGGCTCCTGCTTCCTGGTCGGGTCAGAGTCAGTCCACGGGGGAGGCGGAGGCCCTCGGCCCACATTGCACAGCCTCCTCAGAGACCGGCGTGGGGCGCGGCCGGACAAACCCAGGACTCGGCACCCGTCTAGGGTGGGAAGGAGGAGCAAGGCCCGGGTCCTAGGGATGCCCCTGGAGCGTCCCTCCCGCCACCTCCAGGAAGCCGCCCCAGCCCCTCGTCCCCCAACTCACAGCGGGACCGGGGCGCGGGGAAGGACCAGTTCCCTCCGGGCCCGGAGGGCGTGTGCGGGGAAGGGGCGAGGCTCTGCGCGGTCTCTCTCGGCCGCCGTAGCCCCCTCCTCGTGCCCCTCCGCGAATCCCGTCCCCACCCGGTGCCCGCTTGCAGGTCATGTGAACAGGAAAAGCGGAGCGAGGGCTGAGGAGGGCTTGGAGTTAGCTCTAAAGAGGAACTAGGGGTCGGGGCGACTGGCGGTGACCTCTCAAGGTCCCTCTCCTTGGCCGCCTGTCCCTCCCCCGCCCGCAGGTGGGCGCGCCCAGCCGGGTGACGTCACCCCAACCTGCGGCCGGCGGGGGAGGGGCCGGCGAGGATGAGGAGGAGGCTCAGGGGCGAGGGGCCGGGGGCGGGAGAGGGCGTGAGGGCCGCGGGGCGAGGCGCGGTCCGGAGCCGCAGCCGGGGCCTGGGCAGGGGCCACTCACCCAGGACGCGACCCGCAGCAGGGTCTGGGGCCGCCGCGCGAAGCTCACGGGGTCCAGGGCGGCCCCCGCGCGGCCCGCGCCGAACGAGGCACCCTCCATGGCCGGCCCGGGCGGGACGCGCGCCCCGGCGCCCTGTGTCCGTCTGTCCGTCCGGCCGGCCCCGCCCGAGGCCGCCCGGGTCCGCTGCTGCTGCTGCTGCTGCTGCTGCGGGTGGTAAGGATGCTGCAGCTGCCGCCGCCGCGTCCCGGGAGCGCGCGCCGGCCGCGGCGGGGGCGCGCGGGGCGGGGCCGAGCCGGCGCCCCCCCGCCGGGTCCACGCGCGCGGGGCCAGAGTCCTCCTCTCCCTCCGCCCCGCCCACCGCCGTGCCCGCCCGCACCTGCGTGATGCGGTCCGAGACCCCTCTCCGGACCCTCCGCCAGGCCACCAGCGCAAAGCCGGCAGGGACTGGGCTCTAACTCCGCTGCAGCCGGGCGGATGGACAGGACGTGACTGCGCTCCGAGCAGAGCCGGGCCTGGCTGCCTTGTGCCCCTGCTGGACCCCACCCTGGGTGACGCTGGGTGCCTTCCCTCACGCTCCTTTCAGGCCAGCCTAGCAGGAGTTCAGGTGACTCCTGTGTTTGTCTCCAGCACTGAGAAAAGTCTGCTTTATTGAGCATGTACAGTGCCAAGTGCTTTCCTGCGGAGGGAGGGGCTGTTCTTCAACATATCTCACAGCTTCCAAGTCCCCATTCTTCAGATGGGCAAAAAAGCAGGTCAGTTGAGTTCCTTGACCACAGAAAGCAAAGAGCTGGAATTCGAACCCAGGTCCCTGCTACACCAACCGTGTGGACAGTTGGTGGCGCCTGCCCCAGCTGGGCACGGGGGCAGGGCAGATGCTGCCCACTGTGTTTCGTCCAGTCCCCTGTGTGTCACCATCTGCCCCTTTCACTTGATCATTCACATCAGCACCCAAACATGCTGCATTTTCTTCCAGAAAAAAACAAAAACCCTTCTCGACCCCACTCCCCCTCCAGCTGCCGCACACGCTGCTCCCTTCAGCAGCAGACTCCGTGTGGACACTCTGCTCCCTCTACCTCTCTTCCCACCCCTCTGAAACCCAGCGTGACCAAGCTCCCACCACTCCACCCAAATGCACGGTTGACAGTGACCTCCACTCCCAATCCCAGGGGCAAGTTTCAGATACTGCCATTCCCTCCCTCCAAGATACAATTCCAAGGTCATCCGTGGTTCCTCCTCTTGCCCACTTGGTGACCTGCAAGCCTTAGGGGCCCAAGGTGCGATCCTTGGGTCTCCTCCCTCTAAGCTGGCTCCTTCGGTCTATGCGTCAGCCCTGGAGTGCCAGCTTGAGCCAGAACCTTCCCTGGCACTGGAGCTCCTCTTGCCTTGGCCTGGATGGCCTGGAAAACAGCCTGAGGCAAAGTGAAGTTTTATTGGGGGGCTGAAACTTCGGGGAAGACATGGAAAAAGGAAAGCAAGGCAGGGAGGAGGGCAGCAGACACAGTGGTGCGACCCTACCGACCACAGCATCGCTGCAGAGCCTGGCTGCTTCCCAGTGCACCCGCAGAAGGCCAGAGAGAAGCCTGTGCCTGGGGGAGGGAGGAGCAACTTCTCTCATTTATGCTACCTGGCCCCCTGGGCAGCCCCTGCAGAAGCCAGCACCCTGCAGGGCCAATCAGGTAGAGGTACTGCAGCTCCCTCTGCATAGGCGGCCAAGGTCGACTTGTTCCCAGGGAAAGGCTGAGACACCTGGAGGATAGAGGTGCCCAGAGCTTTGTGACCACAGGCCTGGGACACAGACTGTAGCTGGGCTGTTCTGGCTGGGAGCCAAGGCCTACAGGCAGGTGGAACTGAGCAGATCTGGGGAGGCTCAAAAGCTGGGTCCAGGTCCCCCCTAAACCTGCTGCACTGTCTTCTCCATCTCACTGATGCACAGAGCGACTCCCAAGTCTCCTCTGGCTCCTTTCTCAACCTGGGGATTCTCTGGTTCTGTCTTCAAGGGATCCAGCATCCTCTCCCCTGGGTGAGCCTCCCTCCCAGCTGGCACACAGGTGACCGCCCTGGCTTCCTAACCTTCACCTGCTTCATCCCAGCTCAGCAGCCAGAAGGACTTTCCAAAAGTCACAACACTCTGTGCCATACCTGACTCCAAATGCTCCAAGAGCTTGGAGTTAAACCCATGTCTTTGCTGTGCCCTTGCAGACCTTGTGCCATCACCTCCCCTTGTCTCGGACCTGCAGCAGCTACTCTGGCCCCCTGTGCCCCAGCCCATCAGCTGCCTTACCGTTGCTGGAATACTCCGGCCTGCTCTCACCTGGGGACCTCTCCCTCCTCCTAAGGAGCCAGAAGCCCAGACGGGAAAGCACAGCTGAACACCGAAGGGCAGGAGCAGGCCCTGTCCCTTGCTGCGAGCCCCAGCACAAAGCACACTGAAACCAAGTCCTCAGTCACTTCTCCAGCATTTTATTTTGGCCTCAAACTCTGAGGAGGCTGCCCCATGAAGCCTCTGTTTACAGGCCTGGCACAGCTATGGAAGGCCCTGTGCCAGGCAGGGAGTGGGCAGCATGGCTGGTGGACCCTCAAGGAAGAACCCTGCCTGGGCTTCCCTGTAGGGACTGAGCAGAGTGGAGAGCTCAGCCCCCAGGTCTGATTCCTGAAGTGGCCAGCACAGAGCCACTGGGGCCACGGGCACTGCAGGTGTCCCCAGGGTAGGTGTGGGAAGGCAATGGCCTGGCCTCAAGGGGCAGGCATAGGGCAGCCCAGCCAGGCCTGCCATCTTCTCATGTGAGGAACTGTTGCCAGAGTGTGGGCTAAGCAGAAGGCTGCATCCTGGATGCTAAAGGGCGTCCTAGGCTGCTCCCGCCTCCCTCCCCGGCAGTCCCCCGGGGCTTGGGCTGAGGAGGAGGCCAGCAGGGTGCCTGCAGTGCTGCAGTGGCACCTCCACTTCTACCCCAAACTTGAGAGGGGCTGGGCCCCATGGCAGTGTCCTGGTGACCACCCAACTGAGACTCGACAGGCTCTGGCTCTGTTCACTTTAATGAGCTCCCCCTGCTCCTGTCCAGCCAGGCCACCCTATGGGCCCTGGCTGGCTGCCCCATGGGTTCTGGCTGCCACTCTCTAGTCACAAGAGCCGTCCTTCCAGCCGTCACGCCAGCGCTCATCCACTTTCGAGCAGTCGAAGTCAGGCTTGCCCAGCTTGCGGTTCACCTCATTGTGCAGGCGGCACAGCCACTGGGAGAAGCACACCCGAGTGCGAGTGTCTGGCTGGTTCCTGCGTATCCTGCGTGGGGAGGGGCACAGGAAGGATAGGAGGGGGCAGTGGCTCTGCTGGCTCTGCCAGCTCCTTGCCTGCTCCTGAGGGAGAAGAGCTGGGGCACCTAGAAGTGCCCTCATGCTCCAAGGGATAGGAATTCCTAGAACAGGGCTGACCCTGCAGCTTCCCAGGTGTGCTCGACTCCCAGGACTGCTCAAACACCCACTTGGGGAGGTTGGCAAATCCTGACAAGGGCCCAGGGCAAGACATTAAAGCATAGACCTGGCAACTTTACGACCTTATAACAATCAGGAAGCCTCATCCCAGTGTCCCTGGCCCCGGGCAGAGAGTAGAAGGGGTGGGGCCGGGCACAACCGCAGAACTGAAAATTAGACTTGTTTCTTAGCACCTGAGGCCCTGGAGCAAAAGACCTCATTCTAACTGCCAGGCAGCTCTGTGCCACTGTCCACCCTAGAAACACCTGTAACAGCCAGATCCAGCTCTTGGGTGCCTCAATAAGGGAAAGCTGGCTTTGGGGGGCAAAAGCAGTGGGTTCCTAAGGTCTTAAAACCAGCAGTCCTGCTCCAGAAGTCAGGCAAAGTGTTCTCCCTAACTTGCTTGGAGTCTCCGTCAGTGCTAAATGAGGGAGGGAAGCCTTTCCTGGGAGCCTGTGGCTACAGAACACAGCGATGCCCAGCAGGAGATCCAGGCAGTATGGCCTTTGAGGAGAAAGGAGAAGGCTCAAATAACCCCAATCCCCACTCTATTGGTGGTCCCTGCTCCTCAGCAACCCTCTGCCACTATTTCTCTAGGCTCCCCTCTATGACATCAGCCAAGGGCACCAGGCCTAGGCTCCAGGTGCAATGGTCTGTTCCCTGCAGACACAGCTTACCTCTTCCTTAGGTCCTCAGCACACTCCTCACATGGGTAGAACTTGGAAAATAAATGCATGAATTGGGCCATGTCTTGCTGCTGTTCTGGGGTGGGCAGGTCGGGATAGTAGGCAGCCAAGGTGTGGAGAAGAGCCCAGCTGTGGCGGCCCAGTTCCTCTCGATCCTGTGGACAATCCTCCCTAAACTTGCTGTCCCGCTGCAGGAATAGGCCGACTAAGGGTCAGTTCATTCTCCCCCAACACGAAGCCCACAAAGTTCCCTCTTTTTACGCCCCAGCCGGTGGCCCACGGACTCCGGAAAGAAGTCCAGCTCACGTACGGCTGAAAGACGAAAAGCCAGGCCTACGTAGGGCGGGGCGAGGGCAAGGTTTAGGGATAGCCAACCTGGGGTCTAGGCCCTTGGGAGGTCTGCCCAGGGCACCTGAGGACAAGGAGTGGGGGTTAAGGGCTGGGGCTGGGAGGTCGGGCACGGCATCTGAACCTTCTGCTGCGTCCGCATCCACGTCTTGAAGTCCACGCAGGCCCTGCAGGGCCGCCTCCGGGAAGCGTCCTCGGAGACCTGAGAATCGGAGGTCGGCGCCGGGGCTGGCGTCGGGGCCGAGGCGGCAGCGTCTCTCCGCCCCGCGCCCCGGCCCCGCGCGTCGGTCTCCAGGTCGTCCATCACCTCCGAGCGCGCGCCGCCGGGCAAGAAGGAGAAGAGACTTCCGCGGTAGAAGCGGCCCCGCTCGCCGGGCGCCGCCATCTTGCCCGCGCAATGCCTGCCGGGCCAGGTTGGCCTCCAGATGGGCCCCCAGGTCGGCCTCCAGGCCAGCGCGCGCGCTGCCGCCAGCGCGCGGCCACAGGAGCCGGAGACGCGCGCCGCGGGCGCGGAGGCTGGGCCCGAGCCGGGGCTGGGGGCGGGACTCGGGGCGGGACCCGGCGCGGGGGCGGGGCCCGCGGCCGGGGCCCGGGCCCTGGTCGAGGCGGAGCCAGAGGCCGCGGAGCGGGCCGAGGCGGGGCTGGAGGCCCGGGCCGGGGCGGAGGCCGGCGCGGGGGCGGGGACGGGGCTGGGGGGCCGGGCCCTGCTCGCGGCCCTGGGCCTGGTCCCCCGGCCCGAGCCCGGCTTGCGTCGTCCGTGGCGGCGCTCCCGCTTCCTCCAGTAGAAGAGCAGCGTGTTGTGGAAGCCGTGCCGCGGTCGCCTTGCGGACTCCTGCTGAGGCCGAGGCGAAGTCCGTGTTGCGGCTCGCGCCGCCCCCATCGCTCCGCTCTGGCCGTCCGGCGTGCCTGCTGCCAGGCTCTGTGCCCTCAGCCGAGGGGCGCGCCCACCTGTCGACTGCCCAGCGCCATGGCAACGGGCGCTTGACAACGCGCGCCTGGCAACGCGGGGCGGGGCGTGCCTTCACAGAGCGGCGTGCGCGCTAGGACCCTGCGCCCGCGGTTCCGCCCGCGGCGCCCGACGCCATGGCAACGGGGGCAACGCGGGGCGGGTCCGCGGCCGCAGGGGAGGCGGTGCGCCGGGCTCCTGTAGCCCGGATGAGGGCGCGTCCGCCGTGGGAGGCTCGGGGGCCGCTCTGCCTGCGTGCGCGCGTTCGCTCTGCAATATGCGTGCAGGTCTAGTCTGTCCGGATCGCTGTTCCAGGCGCTGAAAACCGGGAACGAGACTCCGTTCCCCGATCGCCTCAGTTCATTGTCCAGTCAGTGGCCAAGACAAGCAAAGCCAGGAGTCACTGATAGATCCTCACTTATCGGCTGTGGCGGGGCGCGCACATGGGTGGCAAATCCGGAAGGCCTCCTTGAGGAGGCGACACTTGGACAGGGCCTGAAGCATGAGGAATCGGCCGAGGACTACTCTCAGGGCCAAGCCCAAGCTGGGAGGGTCCTGGCGTTTCGCAGAGGCAGAAAGCCCGTGGGCAGGACGTTCGGGAGGGTGGCGGGAGGGCAGGTCCAGAGCTGGGCAGGGGCCCACCAAAGACCTTGCCAGCTGCTGTGGGAACTGGGAGTTCCTCCTAAGGGCAGTGGGAAGGTGCTGGACGGTTTTGGGCACGGCTACTCCAACCGGATCTCATTTATGTTTTGCAAAGATCCCTCTGCCTGTCATATGGGGAGTGGCTTTCAGAGGGGCAAGTGAGTAGCGCAGGGATGGGGGGAGCTGTTGTGGCTGTTCGGGGAGAGAAGGGGTAGGGGCGAGGCAGAGGGAAAGTGGACGGGATCCAGGGCTGACAGGTGTGGAGCAGGGGGCTGTCGGTCGGGGTGGGAGTGGGCCTCAGAATCACTCTAGGTCCCTCCTTGTGAGTAAACCTGCCTCTTCTCTCCTCTGTCTTCCAGGGGAGCAGGGTCTGTCCCCACTTCAACCCCACCAGGCCAGCTGGGCCCTGGCTGAGGTTGGGAGAGAGTGACAGCTGAGCTGAAAGACACTCTACAAATCAGGCCTATGACAGCAGGTGTTCATCGCCTGGGCCAGGATCAGGCAAAGCTTGAGGGCTTCAGAGAGAGCCGCTGGTGGACAGACACACAAAGGCCCTTTATTGAGGCCACGGCAGTTTCCTGGAGGGATGTCTCAGAGGCTGACCTCTCTTTGGAGAGGTTGGGGTGGGGGAATCCCAGCACAGAGCTGGTGGCCCCAGCACCAGGAAGAGTCACTGTGTGTCAGGGTTAAATGTGGTTCTGGAAATCACTATAAGGAAGCAATCTGGAGAGGTGGGGCACCTGGGTGAGCCATCTGTCTAGAGATTCCAGGGCCTGCAACCTCCCCCAGCTGATGGGAGAATGAGTCCCTCCTGACCAGAGGTTGTGTTCACAGAAAGTTGTGATAAATCATGGATTCAGAGGGGGCTGTCAAAACAGTCTTAGTGACCACCTCCCCAACCCCCCAAGTGCCAGTGACCGCAAAGATGGACTCTCTTCAGCCCTGCCCAAGTCTCCCCACCACAGGAGCACTCCTAGGGTGAGCCTGTGAAGTCCATCCCCCACCCCCAACCCCCAGCATGCACAAAAAAACTCACAGTAACTATCCATTTAATTCTTATTTCCTCCTCTGTGACTTGGGGACATTAAGAGACCTTTCCTCCAATATTAGGATTAAGGCAGACAAGGCACTTAAAGCCCTAAGCACTGAGTGCTTGGTTCCAGATGACAAGCCCCCCAGGCCAGTTCAAAGACAGCTGTTGGGTGCACGAGGCAGGAGGCTGCACCAATCCCAGCACCTCGAAGGGCCAGGAGAGCCCAGAGAGGTGGGCCAGCAGGACGGGTGGCAGTTTGGTGACCCTCCCTTCTCCCCTCTCTTCCCATGGCCAGACTCACGTGGGGGGACCCCAGGCAGCAGCCCCAGCCCCTCCACCACCCATTCTTCAGGACAGCATCTTGCACACCTCCAGGGCCGGCAGCTCATTCTTCCACCATCCCTGCCTTGGGTCTCCAAGCCTTGTGCTCCAACCCCCAGATTTTGGGCTTGGGGGACAGCAAGCAAGCTGCAAAGGACCGAGGGGTGGGCGGGGCAGCTCCACAGGGACCCACAGGCTTGGGGCGTAGGCGGGGAATTCCATTCCAGCCAGTCTTCCGGGTGCCCAGGAGCCCCCTGGAGGGCAGAGAGGCGGGCGCGATCGTCAGCCGTGCCCACCCACTTCGGAGGCCCACGGCTAGCAAGGTCGCAGCAATGGCAGGCCCCCGGCACCCCATTTCAGTGCGCGCGGAGGCCCTAGTGCAGATTAAGCAGCTCCAGGTAAGACCTGACTAGGTCCCCACCGGCCCCAAGGGGGAGGAAGGGGGGTCCTGAGTTGCCTCCAACCTTTCCTCCCGCAGACCTTTGCCTTCTCAGTGCACTGGTCAGACGGGAGTGACACTTTCATGCACAGAAGCTGGGACGAATTCAGGCAGCTCCAGGTAAGTGACCCTGGGTGACCCCAACGGACGGTCTTGGCTCCCCCCAGCCAGCCATTCACCTCCCAGAGCACAACTCACCAGTGAGCACCCCCCTCCCCACCCACAGGCCTCCCTTCCTGCCCTCTCCGGCTTCCAGCTCCTAACATCTGGGCCAGGGACTCTGCCCTCCCAAGGGAGCCTAGTGGGCTCTCTGACACTGATACCCCGGTTTGTGCCCTCAGAAGACCCTCAAAGAGACCTTCCCAGTGGAGGCTGGCCTGCTGCGGAGATCTGACCGCGTTCTCCCCAAGCTTCCTGGTCAGGCCAGCCAGGGCCCCAGGAGGGGTGGGGAAGGCAGCACCTTGTGGGGAGGGGTGCAGGGGAGCCGGGGCGGGAGGTTGCACAGTGTGCTTTTGTGGTACCGGAAGATGCACCACTGTTGGCACGCCGAGGACGCATGGGCCGAGGCCTGGCCCGCCTGCGGCTGCTGGAGACCTATTCACGAACGCTGCTGGCGACTGCAGAGCGTGTGGTGCAGAGCCCGGCGCTCACTGGCTTCTTTGCACCACAACGCCTCGACCTGGAGCCTGAATTGCCACCGGGCAGGTGCCTGACCCACCCCCAACTCCAGGGCATTTGGAGGCTGGGTGGACTTGGGGATCAGATTGTGGTGAGCCCACCCACCCAATCTCTCCCCTGTGCTGGCTGCCCTTCCCAGCCTGGTGATCCTGCCCGTCCCGGAAGAGCCACTATCCTGCCCTGCCAGCAGCCTTGCCATCCACAGCCTGGAGACTCAGAGCCTGCGCTGCCTGCAGCCCTTCAGCACCCAGGACACGCGGGGCAGGTCTTTCCACGTGCAGGCCCAGGAAAGCCTGGACGTGCTGCTGCGACACCCCTCAGGTAGGGCCCTGCTGGAATGGGGATGCGCTCTCTGACCCCCAGTCCTGAGTGGGCCTTGGGATCTGAGTCCCTCCCACTTGTGCACAGGCTGGTGGTTGGTGGAGAACAAGGACCAACAGATGGCCTGGTTTCCAGCTCCCTACTTGGAGGAGGTGGCCCTAGGCCAGGGCCCAGAGCCGGGGCTGTCCATGCAGAGCAGCGGTATGACCCTATCCCCCTCCCCCACGCCCACCACTGTCGCTGAACTGTGTGGCAAGACTGGGCCAAAGAAAGCACCAGAGAGGAGAAGGCAGTGGTGACAGGGGCCTGGGAGCAGGTGCTTGGTCTTCACAGCTAGAGGGAGCCCTGAATGGGTTTATAGTGGTGTCTCAGCACAGAGCCAAGCATCAAGGGAGAACCCGGAGAAAGGTGGGGGCCCTGGCCTCTGCGGTCCCGCGGTGATCCCCAAACACCCACCGCTAGGTCCCCAGTTCTGTGCTTCCCGCGCCTACGAGAGCAGCCGCGCAGATGAACTGTCAGTGCCCGCGGGGGCGCGCGTGCATGTGCTGGAAACGTCCGACCGGGGCTGGTGGCTGTGCAGGTGCGGGGAAACACGGCTGGGTGGGGGTGGTGAGCCTTGAAGGTGGGCGGGTCCCTAACCAAGCCCTGCCCCTCGCAGGTACGGCGGCCGTGCGGGCCTCCTCCCCGCAGTGCTGCTGCGGCCGGAAGGGCTGGGCGCGCTCCTCCGTGGGCCCGGGTTCCGTGGTGGGGAGGACGGAGCCAGTGAGGCTCGCGGCTCCCCCGACGCCCTCCAGGCCAAGACCCCTGCCCCTACCGTGCCTGCCCGACCCCCGCTGAGTGCCATCCAGAGGCGCTGCTGCACCATCACCCGCAGGGCACTGGGGCGGCACCTAGGGCCCCAGGGCCCCCCTTGAGGAATGTGGGACCACGTGGGCAGGCCTGCACCATGCACGCCACAACCCGTGTGGGCCAAGGATAGGCACGATGTCTGCCCGTGTCCATGGCTGCACCATCCCCAGCGCCAGGGGAGGAGCAGAGGTGGGACAGTCCCTGGCTGAGGAGCGGGTTCCCATTTCCTCTGAGTAAAACTCTGAATGACCCAAACCCAGTCTCACTGTGCTGAGGGGATGCTGGGCCAGGGTGCAGGGGTGGGCAGGCAGGGTGGAGACCCACAGGCCCTGATGCCCCTAGTGGCTGGTCGCGGCTGTGGCCAGAGACCTGGGATCAGACGGCCCATGCAGCCGCGCAGAGCCGGGATAGGAAAGTACGCCTTTATGTTTCCGAGGGCTGGGGGGCTGCAGGGAGAGTGGGCAGCTTCATGTTGTGCCACAGGAAGTCCAGGAAGGTGGCTGCCTGCAGTGCCCGGCTGAGCCGCTGAAAGTGCCGCTCTGGGGGAGGACAGAGGGAGGTCAGGGGGGTCCACACGCCCACCAGGCTGCTCCCCCCTCAGGCCACGCCCACGCACCAGTGTAGGGCAGCAGGGCCTCAAGCGCTGTCCGCACACCCTTGTAGGCCAGCAGCTCCTCCGGGGCCTCGTGCCGAAGGAGCACGCTCAGCACGGCCTGGGCTTCGTGGCAGTGCCGGGAGTTGGTGTTCCACGTGACACAGAAGCGCAGCAGGGCCTCTGTAGGCAACAGAGGTGGTCACCCTGCCTGCGGGGCCATTCCACCCTGACTGGCCTCCGCACACTGGGCCACCCCACCCTGCCCGGCCCCTGCCTGCCAGCCCTGGACCTTTCTGGTCTCGCCGCAGGCGGAGCACAGTGGCTTCCAGCTTCTCGCAGGCCTCAGGGTCCCTCCGGATGGCTGTGGGAGGAAGGAAGACTGAGCCCGGCTCAGTCGTCCCAAGCCACCCTCCCTGCCCCTGGGCCGGGGGGCACTGACCCTGGATGACGGTCAGCACAGTATGGGGCCGGTCCAGCGAGATGGCCAGGCCCAGAGCGCGCAGGTACCGCTTCTCGTGGAGCAGGTTGTCCAGTTCTTGCTGCCTGGTGGGGCAGAGGGAGGAGAAGGCCACTGAGGACCCTGGCTGGGGGGCTGAAGGCAGCACCCCCGGCTCAGCAGGCCTGGGCCTGAGCACCCACTGGTGGTGAGTGCGGCACCCAGCCTCAGTTTCCCTACAGCATAAGCAAGGGCGACACTGCACACCCCGCCCCTCAGGGAGGGGCTGACCACAGACTTACTTGACCATCTGCTCCTCCTGCTTGGCCTGTTCCTCTGCCTGCTCTGCCTCAGTCACGTCCTGGGATCAGACTAGGGTCAGAGGGGACCCTCACACTGCCCCACCCCCGCCGCACCCCTTGGGGCCCACAACCTTCCAGAGGATGACACGGGAGTCGCTGGCACCGGTAAGGGCACGGTCATCCAGCCGGCTGCAGTGCAGACCCCAGACCTTGTCCTCGTGGGCATCCAGCGTCCGCACACACTCGTTGTTCTTGATGGTCCAGAGCTTCACAAGCCCATCAGAGCCGCTGGGTTTGGGGTTGGGAAAGGCTCAGTGCTGGGGCCGGTCCCCTACCTTGCCCTAGCACCTGCCTCGCCCCACCTCTCACCTGGACAGCAGCTGCGTGCCTCGGCTCACAAAGGCCACCTTCAGCACGGAAGCATCGTGCCCCTCGAATGTCTGCAAGGTGGGGAAGGGGAGGGCATGAGATGTTGCTGGGGTCGGGGGGGCTGGGCCTGGGGGATGTTGCTGACCTTGAGACAGCTGAAGTCCTGTAGTGCCCAAAGCTTGATGGTGCCATCAGCTGAAGCTGTGGCCAGCACTTGGTCCATGGGTGAGAACTGGACACACCAGAGGCCGCGGCGGTGGCCTGAGAAGACGCCCAGCAGCTGGCACTGTGGCAGGGCCCACAGCTTGGCCGTGCGGTCCTGTGAGCCTGTGACCAGCAGCTTGTCATTGGGGGCAACAGCCACACTGTTGATGTCCTGGCGATGGGAGCAGGCAGCAACTCAGACCCCCATCCAGCAAAGGCTTGGCTACCGCCTGACCCCCCGTGGCCATGTGTGGTCACCTTGTCATGGCAGCGCTGGGTGGTCTGGGCCTGCAGGAGGATGGGGCCACCGTCTGGAGCTGTGCTCTTAGCCAGCAGGGTGCCAGGAAGGGGCCACAGCTTCACGGTGCAGTCTTGGCTGCCGGTCACCACGAAGGACTCCTTCAGCCTGTGGCCCGACGGGAGGAGGAGGCGCTGCTGAACCCTGGCCAGCTCTGATCACCAGCGCACCACAGGTCTGGCCTGCTGGACCCCAGTCCAGACCAAAGGGACTGTCCCAGGATGCAGACTGGCTATGTCACCCCCAAACACCCCAGGGACCAAATCCCTTTCTGCACTATCCACCCTTGGTGCCACCATACCCAGTGGCTTGGCCCCAACCACAGGCCCCCAGCCCTAAATGCAGTCTTCTCCCACCTGGGCCTTATTCAGTGTCTCTCCACCCCGACACCCTCTGCCTTGCCAAGGCTATTTTCCAGGAATCCCCCCGCATCCATGGTGCCCAGGGGCTCCACCACCCTGGTTCACTGGTCCACATCCCTGCTCCAAGAGCAGGCCAAAGCCACCGCCGTCGCCTCCTCTGCTACTCCCCTGAGCAGCCACACCCATTGGCAGGCCTGGGCCTCTGCTGCCTCTGACACTTCCAGGTCCAGCCCTGACCCACTCTACCTAGAGCAGCAGACGGTGCCCACGCTGCGTGTGTGCCCGGAGCCCTGAGCCACACAGGCCACCTGGCCAGCCTTGTTCATCCTCCAGATACGGATGCTCTGATCCTGGGGAGAGAAGCTGGGCTGTGGTCCTACTGCCTTGGCCTCCCCTCCTGGGGTGCCCGTACCTCTACACCTCTCAGGCGCCTCACCTTGGCACAGCTGGCAAAGAGCCACCCCTTCCGGAACACATCCAGGGCCAGGACGATGTCTGGGAAGAAGTATCAGGCAGAGCACTCAGAGACCAATGATGGCAAGGTTGGGGGTCGGGGCAACAAACCCCTGGGGCATGAGGCAGGCTCCACTCACCTGTGTGGCCATGGAGGATCTGGCAGGAGGACGTCTGTAGCTCAAACACTTTTAGGCAGGGGCTGTTGGAGGCCACGACGACGTGGGAGTCCTCGGGCCCAAGGAACCGGACGTCCAAGACCTCCTCACTGTAGCCCGCGAACTGTGGGGGCAGGAAAGACAGAAGCCAGGACCTGGCTAAGTGGAGGGCTGGTGCCCCCACCCCCAGGCTGAGCAGGGGAGGTGCTCACCTGTTTCTGCAGCCGCAGCGAGCGTGCCTCATAAAGCAGCAGATTGTGGTCAGCGGTGACGCTGAGGAGCAGGCCGGCAGCGCGAGCCAGGGTGCAGTGGGTCAGCTCCCGCCCAGGGCCCGGCAGCTGAGGCTGCGTGTACACACACTGCCCGGAAGCCGCCTCCCACACACGTAGCGTGCCTGTGTGGGGATGGGGCTGCTGAGACGCAGGTCCGTTGGCCTTGCCCAGCCCCTGCTACCTGCCCGTGCCCTACCCCCTCATACCTTGGTCGCCAGCTGTCAGGAAGTGCAGGCCTGGAGACTTCACCCCCAGCTCAGGCGCCGGTTCCTCTGGCAACAGCACAGCAGCCTCCACACTCTGGGGACGAGCTGGGTCAAAGGCTGCAGCCATGTCCCCTCCCTGCCCAACTCACTAGCCCTGGCCCCCAGATGCCCCCACCTCAAACACCGGCACAGTCTTCATGGCCTGGTGGCTGCGAAGATCCCAAATAATGCAGATCTTATCACGGCCGGAGCTGCAGGAAAACAGCCACCTTAGGTCCAGAGTCTCAGCCTTGGCCTCCCCTTCCTACCAGGGCCTGCCACTGACCTGAGCATAGTGTGGCCATCAATACTGAAGGCCAGTGAGGTGACAACACTGTAGTGGGCAGTCAGCACAGCTAGGCACGACCTGTCCTGCAGTGACCACATGCGGATGGCAGCGTCCGCAGCTGAAGAGAAGAGCAGCAGGCGGGCAGGGTCCGGGTGGAAGGCCACCAGACTGCAGGGGCAGGTGGGACAGGATGGATGAGCTGTGTGCCCTGAGTGTGGGGCCTACCAGGGCCTGCCCACCTCCTGCTGCTCCCACTCACTGCACGACACCATGTGAGCCCCGAAAGTGGTGTGTCCCGTAGTGCTGCACAATGTCCCAGATGCGCACGGCCCCATCACAGCCACCTGCAGGAAAGTGTTTGAGGTGAGGGGCTGGTGTGCCCAAAGCCCCTGCCCCTGTGCCCTCCAGACCCTCTGCCCCACTGGGGGCCTACCTGTGGCTAGCAGTGTGGAGGTGGGGTCAAAGGCCATGGTGGCCACAGGAGATGTGTGTATCGCTTTCCACAAGCGGGTAACGCTGCCCTCTCGCCAGGCCCACTGAGCCAGCAGCAATGCCCGGCTGGCTGTCACCAGCACCTGGGGGAGGGGGCGATTCAGCTGCCAGGTAGAGACATCCTCATCCACTCAAAGTGCAGGAGAGAGACACCAGAACTCATCTCCCATCCCTGCCCCACATACCTCATCGTCGGGGCTGAGATCAAACGCCGTGATGTCCTCTTGGTCCTCCTAGAGGAAAGAGTGGGTACCCAGAGCGCCGTGTGCACAGGCTGCTCTCCCCGCTGATCCCCTCACACATACCACTCTGCCCTCACCTGCTCCAGGCTCCGCAGCACGGCCCCCGAGGCCACCTCCAGGACATTGACTCTGGTACCACAGATGCAGAAGAGGTGCTGGCCGGTCTGGTCCAGCTGGGCACAGAGGGATCTCAGCCAAGATAACATTCGGCACCCCCATAGCTTCCGGCTGCCCCACCACCCTGCCCGCCCCAGGGCTGGTACCTGTGCTTTTCCGCCCTTGTAGAAAGGTTCAATCTTACGCTCAACAGCATAGCTGGAAAGAGAACAGGGGAGTGAGTGATCACCCACCCCCTTGGTCCCCAGTGCCTGGCCCCGTGCTTGGTGCTCTTCCAGAAGTAAACCTGATCGGCCCCTGCCCTTGAGGAGTTCCTGGGCAGTAGCAGGGACCCAAGGAGAACACTAGCAGCACCGTGAGTGGGTGTTGCTACCCCCAAGTGATGGAGAAGTTGTGACCCAGAACTGGCTGGTGACCCCCACAGTGCACCAGGCAGAGGCAGTCCAACAGCCCAGTCTTCCAAGATTCCTTAGTGAAGACCAGGCAGGACCCTGGGGGGCGCCCCGAGGGCAGCGAAGCCTGGGTAACAGCCTAGATCACCACCCTCCTCAGCATCTTCATCCCAGACATCCAGCACACCCCTTCCCCACCCCGGCTGCCCACCTACACTCTCTTAACCCTGCTGCCAATTACTTCCTCACACTCCTCCAAAACCTTGCCCAGAAGAGCTTTTGCTGACCTTTCCTGTGTTTTCCGTCGTTCTCACATTGCAGCCCATTGCTCCTGGCTCAGCCTGGTAACAGGTTTTCTATTACCTGCCTGTCTGCCTGTTCCCTGCAAGAGGCCTGGGCTTCTTTTCCCGGATTTCCATGCACTCGCAGAAGTCTGACTGCCAGGATGAAACCATCTCCTCATCCCCCTACACCCAGCTGACCCTCCAACAGAGGTGCTGCCAGCACGGGGTCTTCCCTTTGCTAGCACTTGTCACCACCTAAGACGCTCAACCACTAATGAAAATGATTCAACCCGTGAAATTGCGCTCCCCAGGGAGGCGCTGAGTCTGTTCGCACCCAGGCACTAAGCACTTAGCTGTTCAGCAAAGGTCGGGGACTGAAGGGGCAACAGGATTTAGGGCCTCCTGGGCCACTGAGGACCGGACGGGCCCATCTCCTCTCTTCCTGCTCCCCAGACAGGACAACAGGTGAAAGCCCCCCAGGCTACCCGCCCTTCTTCGTCTCCCACCAGCGCCCAGAACGAGCCCCGACTTATGCTCAGCCCTCCCCTTCCTCCTCCTCTGGGATTTTTCGTCCCCACTCTACCCCCCCAAACCGGCTCTCCGTTTAAGCGATGCTTGCTGCGCCCTGCCGGCCGGCTTAGTGGGTGTCGGCTCTCCCACCCAGTGTTACCGCAGCTTCCACGACCCCGCGGGCCAGTCTGCACACAGCCCTCACGCCCTCCGCAGACTCGAATGGGCGCCCACGCCCACTCCACGGCCCGCGCTGCTCCACGCGCGACTCCGCTAGTCGGGCTGCGAACCCGGCTTAACTCGCCGGGCAGCGCCCGCATCCCAGCACCCCGGGCTCACTTGGCCTTGAAGCGGCTCGCTCCGGCTGCGGTCTCCGCCATGTCGCCGCCGCCGTCGCCGCGCCCGCAGAAATCAGCTTGAACCAGCACCGCCGCCGCCGCCGCGTGAGGGAGACCCGCGCGGAACTCCGCACTCACGGCGCGCTGCGATGGCGTCACCGCGCGCGATCACTGTGACGTCATCGACGCGGGGCGCTCGGCGCCATCTTTGCTGTGGGCAGTGGCTGCCGCGTCGGGAAGCGGAAATTGGCAGAGGCGTTTCTGGTCTTGAAGGTGGGATTTGGAACGTCTTGGGTGCGGCGTGGGCATGTGGGCGTATACTGGCGAAGGGGTGGGGTAACCCGTGCGCGGTCTGGCCTTAATGGCAATTTAAAAAGGCTTTCGTAGAAGGTGTTTACTCGTGCCCTCCGCATTCTGGGATTTGGGGACAACCGCGGTCAGGTGGTGTCAGTGAGTAGAGCGAGCCCTAAAGTAGGCCCTGTGTCGGGGCTCCCAGTCTGGCATGATAAATAATGCAAGTAAATCAATAAATTGGGTAATTTCAGAGTCATTCACATATTCATTGAGCACCTTCTGTGTGCAAAACAGTGTTCTGGGCACTTGGGGGACACTAGAGAAGAAAACGAAAATCCCTGCCCTGGAGTAGCTGTTATTCTCAAAGGCTGAGGGTGGGGGCGGGGCAGGGGCAGAACAGGGAAAGCCCTTAATAGTTAAACGGTGTGTGCCGTGGAAAAATAAATTAGCAAGAGCTGGAGCAGAGGGCAGGAGGTGCAGTTCACCCAGGCTGAAGTGCAGTGGCAGGATCATAGCTCACAGCACCCTCAAACTCCTGGGCTCAAGCTATCCTCCTGCCTCAGCCTCCACCATGCCGGGCTAGCCTTTCTATTTTTATAGAGCGGGGTCTCCCTATGTTACTTAGGCTGGTCTTGAACTCTTGGCCTCAAGCAATCCTCTGGCCTCAGCCTCCCAAAGTGCTAGGATTAGTGCTGGGATTACAGCCAGGAGCTATGGTCCCCAGCCAGGAGGTGCAATTTTTTTTTGTTTGCCAAGGGAAAAAGAAACTTGGAAAGGATATGGAATTTTAAATGGGGTGGTGGAGGAGGTTTTATTGAGAAGGTGAGAGCTGAGCAAACACTTACTTTGAGGAAGCAGGGAGCCCTGTGGTTATCTTGGGACAGTGCTTCAGGCTGAGGAACTGCCAGCACTTAGCGATGGGGTGTGGGGGATGGGGGTGCCTGGCATTTAGAAGACACGACAAAGCTGACGTGGCTGCAGGGAGTGTGGACAGAATGCACCGCCTTGAGCCACTGTGAGAAGTGGCTTTTACTCTGAGTTAAAGGTTTTGAGTTGTTTGTGCTGCTGGCTATGAAGCTAGTAAAACAAACTGGTAGAAAGTAACCCGAAGGAGACTGGGAGAGGACGAACAGGGAAAACCTCTGCGAGGAGAGAGACATTTGAGTGGAAAGAAGAAAGTTGGCAAATGCAGGCGCAATAGCCAGTACAAAGACCCAGTGGTTGGGCAGAACTAGAGTCCAAGCAAGAAAGGCCAAAGCATCTCCCTGGAGTAGTGCCTGGAGAGGTCAACCAGGCAACAAATGTGACAGGGTGTGAGGCCAGCAGGCAGGGCACAAGGCAAGCCAGGCCTGGGCTCCGCGTTTATTCACCTCTGTTTACACCTTGGCCCCGGGTCCCCCATAGCTCAGCCCTGGTACTGCCTTCTGGGATGCCCCCAGCCTCCTGTGGGGTGCCCGCTAGCAGGGCTTCATCCTCCTCTAGGAAGTTGCCAAGCTGGGCCAGCTGCCGGTGTATGAGGCTGGTGGCCCGGTGCACCCGGCGCATGCGCCGAAGCAGGCACAGCAGCAGGGTCTGGCTGCGCTCCTGGCGCTCGCTCCAGGCGTCACGCAGCTCGCGATAGCAGTTGTGGCCAGCACGCTCAGCCGGACCCAGGGTGGCCCCGCAGCCCAAGGGACAGCACTGTTGGGCATCTTGCTGGCAATGCTGCTGGTGCTCGGCCAGGGCTCCACGTGGCACCTGGGCAGTGCAGCCCTCATTGGGGCAGGCCGTCAGCTCGAACGGGCATGAGTCCTGGTGCCCCTTGCGATGGGCCAGGGGGCATGTCACCAAGCAGCCTGCTTCGGCATTCTTGCACTGCAGATGGAGGGAGAGCACTGTGTGAGCCAAAGCTCGGCATTGCCAGCTGTGCCCCCATGGAACCCCCACCCCTGGCTTTCTGCTCACCAGGAGCCAATGAACTGACAGCCTCCCAAGCTTTTCTGACTCTACTGAGGGGATGGGGAGAGGATAGCTGGGTGAATGCCTAGAGGTGGGAAGAATCTAGAGGTCCCAGGGGTGGGGGCCTGAGTCTTGGAGAATTGGGAGGTACATGGCTGGATTGGCTTGGTGAGTGATACGATATATATGCCAGGCTTTTTTTTTAACCTCAGTTTCCTCATCTGTAAAGTCAGGGCGCTGAAGAGTAATGGCCAGCCCACCAAGCAGTTAATCCTCCTTGATAATATCCATTTTACAGCTGAGCCCCAGGGGCTCAGAAAGGTTAGCTAACTTGCCCAAAGTCACACAGCAAGTAAGTGGTAGAGCTAGGATTCAAACTCAGCCACATCTGTTGACCCCAAAGCTGCAGTTGGTTTTCTTTGAAGGTGGGATTCTCCTTGTCCCCTCTCCTGGCTCTGCTCCACACAAAGCTGATGTGAGTGGATGCTTTGAGCTACCTTAACTTCCAGACGGCCAATGGTTTTCCGGAGTCTATTCAGGTGGACCATCTTTTTCTTTTTCACCTCTTTCCTGCAGCACGGACAGGTCTTTTGTCTGGAGGAAGTATGACAGGGGCGAGTGTTGGGAGTGGAAAGGGCAAGTGGAGGAGCTATGTCTCCCCTGGTTGAGCCTTCACTGGGTGACGCAAGCAGTCCCATCTGCAGCTGGAGGAGGCATGAGGCTGCATACAGGGAGCTCTCAGATCCTAGGCTGGGGCCAGGGTCTGCAGACACCACGGGGTGGGGTGAGGGGACCCACACATTTTAGTGTCCCAGGGGATTTGGCAGTTGAGTGTTATGGCCATTGTGACCCTGTGCTTGCCAGACTTTCCCTCTGTTCTGGGCCACAAGAATGGCTCCTGGCCTTGCCCCTGCCCTCCCAGCCCCTTGGGTACCCAGGGGCACCTGGCTAGCCACCGGAGGATGCACTTTTTGCAGAAGGTGTGGCTGCATGGCAACCTCACTGGCCTCTTGAGAACCCCATGGCAGACAGAGCACAGGAAGTTGCAGTCCGGAGGGCTGGCGAAGAGGTTGAGATCATACCCGCCACTCTGCAAAGGCCAGGCTAGCATCAGGGCTTGGCTGGGACCACGTCTGGTCTCCCACTCCACATACCCAGCAAGAGACCCCAGCAAGCTTTGGGTGGGGAGGTGGGCCACAAGAGAACCCCAAGTAGAGGGCCCAGGTCAGCACCCACTTTGAGGAGCTGCTGTGTGGGTCAAGACCCCCCAAAGGCTACCAGTCCCTGGCTGGAGAAGCTGGCCTTAGTGGGGAGTTAGACCACGTCAGAGCCTTCTGAAAACTGTGCCGCATGGGGGCCCACTGACCACCCTTTCTCAAAGGGAGACACGGGGTCCATCCGTGGGCAGACCTCTGGAGTTGGGCACAAATCTCAGGGATGGAGGCCAGAGGGCCCCAGGCTTACCATGATCTGTGTCTGGATGGCAGCTCCACTGATCCCAGGGCTCGGGAGCCTGCATTTCACAGTGGGACTGGGCCGACATCACAGTGGCATTGTCCAGCTCAGACCAATCACAGCCCTGGTGCAGGGCTTACTGGGACCATGCACCACCTAGCCCTTGCTTCCCTCTCTGAATGGGCACAGAAGGGGAGGGCAGCCCTGAGCTGGGACAGGTCTGTGGAGCCCCCTGCCATGGGGGTGGCTGACTACTGATCCCCAGGCAGCATCAGGCCAGGAACCAAGCTTCTGGGAGCTGCTTCCCCAACGCCACGGCTTTCATCAGGATCACAGGGAGTGCTGCCTAGGTGGCCAGACCTCCAAGAACTAGGACGCTTTAGACATTGACCCACTGAGTCTCTTCATTTAGGGCCCAAGATTCAGGGTGGTAGCTCCGGGTCATGGAGGACTAAATTCCCGTGCAACCTGCAGCCCCACAGCTGCAGGGGGTGCCCAACCTTCCAGATCTTGTGCTTGAACATCTGGGTAGACCTGTGGGGAACAGCAAAGGGGGAATCAACTCCAGCCTGTGGAAACACGTTCCCACGGGTTCAGCGCTGTTGGAATGCTGCGTTAATCTAATCCTAAAGAACCTAACCCTGAGAGTACTAGGCAGCCACTGAAGGCCTGAACCATGAACTCCACACAGCCATGCTTGCTGGCCCCACCTGGCTCACCTTAGCTCAGGGTACTCTACCTGCTAATGTGGAGGTATATCTGGGGCATGGCTACAGGCCAGTATTTTCAACCTGGCTCTGCCACTTAAGGGGTGTGGGGCACTAGACGTCAGCTGCCAACCTCCCACGTTCTACCCTGTGTGGTGTCCGAAGCAGAGTTAGGCTGGCCTGGGAAAAGAATGCATCCCACTAAGCTTTTCCCCGCCTCAGCTTTAACAAATGCGAGACCCCAAGAACATCCACACGCAGAGAATTAGATAGCTTTATTCGAAACACGGGGGGCAACCAAATCCCCCTCCCCCCCGTGGTCCTGGCGGCGTCGGGTGGCCTCAGGCTCGGGGCGACCAGTGTCCTGTAAAGAGAAGGCAGGGTTAGGGGTCGCAGGCCAGAAGCCGGATCACGCGGGCGGCCGCACCGGGTTCAGGGCCGCGGCGCCTGTCGGGGCCTGGGTTTCACCGCCGCACACGAGACAGTGGGCGCTGAGCTTAGGCCCCTGCTGGCTCTGGGCGCCGCATCTCACCCCCAGCCACGGCAAAGCCGGGGGTGATTTTCAACCAACGCCGGCCTTCCCCGCCCACCACCGGCACGCAGCGGGCGGCCAATGCGGCCAAACCTACCTCAGGCAACTGCAGAAGGGGGCAGCGCGGCGCGGGCGTTTATAGCCGCTCTTCCGGTCACGCAGATTCCCGGGCCGCGGCTGGGGCAGGACGCGCAGGCGCACGCAGGGCGCGGCGAGGGGCGGGGCAACGCAGAACCAATCGGGCTTCCTTACGGGTCTTGGAGCGGGGAAGCCGAGATCTCGCGGCGCTGGGCCTGATATAAAAGCTCCCTCCTTGGAGGTATTCGCTCTTCTTTTCCGAGAAAACACGTGAGTTTTTGCGGCCATCGCGGCAGCGTGCGGCCTAGGCGGCGGCATCCGCGGACATCGGGCCGGAGTCGGGCGCGTGCTCTTGGGCGGAGCTCCCACCTGGGTCCCGCGGGCGGCCGCAGACGCTGGGGCCTAACTGGTTGGGTTTTGTTTTTTTCAGCAAATGGCGGATGACGCCGGTGCAGCGGCAGGGCCCGGAGGCCCCGGAGGCCCTGGAATAGGAGGCCGCGGCGGCTTCCGTGGAGGCTTCGGCAGCGGCATTCGGGGCCGGGGTCGCGGCCGGGGGCGGGGCCGGGGCCGGGGCCGCGGAGCTCGCGGAGGCAAGGCCGAGGACAAGGAGGTAGGTCCGAGCCACGGGCGGGGGCAGGCCCGTGGGCGGCGGCGGGGAGGCAACCTGTTCACCCGCCCTTCTCTTCCTCAGTGGATGCCCGTCACCAAGCTGGGCCGCCTGGTTAAGGACATGAAGATCAAGTCGCTGGAGGAGATCTATCTGTTCTCCTTGCCCATCAAGGTACGCCTCGATCGGTGGGGCGTCGAGCACGTGCGACCCCGGCGAGCCTTGGAGTCATTTATTTGGGCTGGGGTCTGAAGATTGAAATCTGTCATGGGCCCACTTCTAGGGGCCAGGGTCTCCCGTTGGAGGGGTTGAGGTTGCGTTCTGGGCAGAGTCTGAGGAGGGGATTCCACTAGGAGTGAAAGGCTGGATGGGTGCCTTACGTGAGAACGTTAGATGAGGGTTACACAAACGTGGTTCTTGAATGACAGCATTTGTCTTGTTTAGGCACTTTATTTAATGTTTCCACTATCAGTGTTTTGTGTTTCGTTGTAGGAGTCTGAGATTATTGATTTTTTCCTGGGGGCATCTCTCAAAGATGAGGTTTTGAAGATTATGCCGGTGCAAAAGCAGACCCGAGCTGGCCAGCGGACCAGGTTCAAGGTATCTCAGCAGTTTGCGTCTGGCTGGGCAGTTGGTGCCAGGGGGCTTGGCAAGACTCTCCCAGCTCTGCATGGTTACACTAGGCTTCACTCGTGTGACTTTCGTAACGTGGAGAGAAAGAAAAGATCTCCTCGGGACCTCGGATTAGCCTTACAGTGGCTTCTCTTTCCTTGAGGGGTGCAACAGGTCCTGGGTGTGGGTATGATATGTGTAGGACCGCCAGCTACCTCACAGTCTCTTTGCAGGCGTTTGTTGCCATCGGGGACTACAATGGCCACGTCGGTCTGGGTGTTAAGTGCTCCAAGGAGGTAGCCACTGCCATCCGAGGGGCCATCATCCTGGCCAAGCTGTCCATTGTCCCCGTGCGGAGAGGCTACTGGGGGAACAAGATCGGCAAGCCCCACACTGTCCCTTGTAAGGTAGGCCAAGGGGTGGTGAGTGTTGGGTCTCTGATGGAGCAGAGACTCCCAGCTCTGGTCTCCTGACTCCTGCCCTTCCCAGGTGACAGGCCGCTGTGGCTCTGTGCTGGTACGTCTCATCCCTGCCCCTAGAGGAACTGGCATCGTCTCAGCCCCTGTGCCCAAGAAGCTGTTGATGATGGCTGGCATTGATGACTGCTACACCTCAGCCAGGGGCTGCACTGCCACCTTGGGCAACTTCGGTAGGCGATTCACACGTGGGATCAGCCACAACCTCTCTCAGCTCCGCTTGATCACACAGGCCTAGTGTGTGCTTGGCGTGTTTCCAGGGAGAGAGAGGAAAGCTCTCCTAATGCACGACAGAATTGCCCACAGTGGCCTCTCTGTTCCTAGGAGTGCGACATCTTCAGGTCCTGGGGTGGAGGACTTGTCTCAGGTCACACCACCAATCTCTCTCCTGATGTTTTTTGTTCTCCAGCAAAGGCCACCTTTGATGCCATCTCCAAGACCTATAGCTATCTGACTCCTGATCTCTGGAAAGAGACAGTATTCACCAAGTCTCCCTACCAGGTACTGCCAGCCCACCCAGTGGGGTTCAGCTGTCCTTGGCCTTACCACAGTCCAGAGACTGGGCTCTTTTGGTCACTGCCTCAGCAAACACAGGGGGTGGTGGTATCTGGCTACAATTAAGGCCCTGTTTCTCTCTAGGAATTCACTGACCATCTTGTCAAGACCCACACCAGAGTCTCTGTGCAGAGGACCCAGGCTCCTGCTGTGGCCACGACATAGCATTTTTATACAAGAAAAATAAAGTGAAATTAAGCCTGTTAATGGTTGTCTCTTGCCTCTGTGACATCAATTTAGTGGTGGCTTGAATCTGGCAGGGAGGTGGGGCCTTCCTAAGATGAGGAATTAGATGCACAAGAACACAGGCAGGTTGCATCACTTTATTTCAAGCATACAGTCACTGTCATATTTGGGTGGGGGGGCTGCACAGCTGCCTCAGGCAGCAGCAGCCTGTTTTGCGGCCTCTTTTGCAGCCTTCCTCTCTGCCAGCATCCTTTGCTTCTGTTTCGCCAGGCACTTTCTGGCAGAATAATGGGCCCCCAGGTCATGATCTGAGAAAGAGAAAAAAACAGACTGGAAACCTAGTTCTGTCAGGGCCCTGGGGGGCTCAGTCTTTCTATGTGCAGAAAGAGGAAAGTTGGTGGCCAAGGTCATAAGTGGGACATGATGTACCTATCTCCAGATGGACCTAACTGGTAGGCTCTGGGCAGTGGAGCTGGCCCACTGCCCTGCGGAGACTGGACAGACTAGAAGGGAGTGAGATGGCAAGAAACATTTGGGCCAGGGTGGGGGCTCGCTCAGGGCTCACTCACAGCGGTCCTGGTAGGCCTTGGCCACCTGGGTGAACTGCTCCAGCTCCTTGGCACAGTTCTGCCTGTAGCTCTCTGCTTCCCTCTGCTGACAGGCCTTAAGTCTCTCCTGGATAATGTTGACAATTTCTTGATCGACTTTGCTGGACAAAAAGGGAACAAGAGTTTATTTGTAAAGAATTTTCTTCTTGTACCTGGGCGGACTAGAATGAAAGGAACTTGGAGCCCCATGGTCTGCCCACACATCACTCCCAAGGTCTGGGCCAACCCCAGGAGGCATATTCTGGCTGGCTGAGGCCATCCCTGGGTACCCCGGGGAGTGGTGACCCCCAGCAGGATGTGCTGTGCAGGTCTCCACATTCCCTGTCATTCACATACTAGTCCCTTCTCCATTGCATTTCAGCTTCAAACATGCACAAGACGTCCTTCTCCTTGCACTCGGTGATGTCTGGCACGCGGCGGTACTCGCGGTGGTAGTAGTAATACCTGTTCTTTGCGTGCTGCCGCTCTATAAACTCTGCAAAGACAAAACCCCACACTCAAGAGCCCCATCAGTTTGGACAGGCCATAGTTTGGACAGGCTTTTAGCTTTGTTACTTCTCATAAGCCACAGAGTAGAGAGGAAGGAGGATTTCCTGAATGTTCCCAGCTGTTATAGAAACAAGCAACTCAACTGTGGAAGAGGTGCAGGCTAACACAGACAGTTCTGCAAGTATTAGGCTACAAATGTTTACCACTGACAGCTCTCTTAGTGCCAGGCATCTTCCTCAGTTCCACATGCATTATCTCACTTTGTCCCCATGACACAGCTCTGCAAGCTCAATTTCCCCACGGCAGAGGGACCCCACAGTGTAGGAAGAGACTCCGACAGGGAGCCACCAGCAAGCAGGAGAACCTGCCCTGGCCCCCTTCGGGCTTCAGCTTCCCAATTGGTAAATAAACAAGCTAGACTAAGAGCTCAACCACCCAGACACATAAAACACCAGGACACTGCTACAAGAAAGAGGGAGCTGGGCCCAAGGCTGTGCCCTCTCCAGATACTTGAGAGTTTGATTTGCAGACTTCATCCTTCCTAGTGAAAAAACCACCAGAGCATTGCCATGCACCCCAGTTGTTTTTTTGTTGAAGGAATGAGTTGATCAATTGAATGGATAAAGTGCCTGGCACTAGTGACTGAGGACAGAGCAAGCCCTTGCTGCTGCCCGCGGAGCTGGCTGAACCACACAGAACTGTGTTGAGCATTCTCCTGATTCGGACCAGAGATGGGAATCTGGGAACTACCCGGACACCTGGTCATTTTGCAGGGAGACGGGTCTAACAGGCCCCAGGGCTCTGCTGGTTCCGTCTGCAAACGGAGGCAGGAGGCCAGGGGTGCAACGGAAGGCCGAAGGAGACAACGGAGCTTGAGGGCTCTCCGCGCGGGGGGCCCCAGGGTGCAGCAGGGGGTGGTCCTAGTGCGACGGGACCCGGCGAGAGGTGAGGTATAGGGGGCGGGGGTCTCCGGGGGCGTCAGGGAGATCCTAGGGAGCGGCGCGGCCCGGGGTGGTGGCAGGGTGCCGGGGCCCAGGGGTCTCTGGAGGACGGCAAAGATCCCGGGGGCCGGCGGGGCCCGGAGTGAGGGCCCCGTACCTCTCACGAGGGTCACGGGCCGGTCCACGAGGAGGTCAAAGGCCTTCGTCAAGTAGACAACCGGGTTGGGCAGCGAGGTCTGCGGCGAGAGCGCCGGCGTGCGGCGCGGGGGCTCAGGGTACACGTCCTTGTCCCAGCTGTCCGGCATGGCGGCGGCGGGCGGTGGACTCCGCTCCCGGACGCGGTGCCCCGGCCTCGGCCTGCGTCCGCGTCGCGCGGCCTAGCTCGCCCGTGCAGAGGACGCCCGGGGCGGCTGCGCCTGCGCACTGGCGGCCGCGGCCGCGGGGCACCCTGGGACTAGTAGTTGGCCGGGCTCGGGCCCGCTTCGCCGCAGCGCGCCCAGGCGTGGGGCCTCAGCGCCGTCGCAGTCCGCCTCCTCGCCAGTCCGGGCTCTGCGTGAGCGCTGGGCGGGCGCTGGGGACACAGCGCTCAACCAAGCAGAGGTCCCTGCCGACGTTGACGAGGAGACAGAAGGAATAACGGAGCGGTTCATGCCGTTCGTGCTGCGTGTCAGGGCAGGGGGCAGGATTTAACAGCCCGGCTCTCACGGAGAGCCCAGGCTGCTAGAGCACGCGCAACAAGTAAGCCAACGAGTAACGCGACACACCAAACGCCCCACTTCTCCAGGAAGCCTTCCTGGATTGCCCAGTCCCTACAGGCTTCTCTGGGCTCCACTCTCTCTGCCAGGGCCCCTCAGGGACGGGCTGATGTTGGCGAGCTGGAGGGGCCTTCCTGGGGCAGGACAGGAAGCAGGGCTGCCCCCAGGGCCCCAGCCCATTGGGAGAAGGGATTCCCACCCTGGGCGCAGGTGCTCTGGCCTGGTTTTGATGGTTCCATTCTGGCCCTGAGCACTGTGTAATCTCCACACCTGGCACAGCCCCTGGCTGGTATCTAGGGAGGGTGCTGGTCACCTCCTGCCCAGAGGCTGGGGCCAGGGACACAGAGCCACCAACTCTAGGGACTCTCAAAATCTAGAATCACACAAACGTCAGATCTTCAAATGGTGAACTCTTAGAAA